CCTACACGCGACTCACTTCAGGCGAGCATGTGGGCTGCAGGCCTTGTGAGGTGTTTACCGAGGCCAGAACCTGCTTGCAGAATCCTAGGAGAAAAACCAAAGCGCCAGGACTTTTGTAGGAAACAGACTTAAGGACCCTCACCACTTTATTCTTCACTTCATCAGCGTGATCAAAACTGGGCTCAGATCCACAGCCACAGTGGCCCTCCCTGGAGGTGATTCTGTCCCCGAGGTGGGGGACACCTGCAGTGTCTGGGGACATTTCGGGGGAGGGGGGCTACTGGCATGCAGCAGGCAGACGCCAGGGGTCTGCTAACTGCACCGGGGCAGCCCTACAACCAAGAAATCCTGGCCTCACCGGCAACAGCGCCCAGTCTGAGAAACCCTCAAAAACAGGGCTCTCTCTTCAATGCTTAATGTCGGGGGCAGGAAATTTTACCTCTGAGGTGAGTTGCAGCTCGGCAGTGGCCAGCAGGTGCAGGAGGACGCAGCGCCCGCTTCCTTTTCATTGGAAGCTACCGTTTTTAGCCAAAAGCCAAAGGTGAAGGTGCAGGGAGGGGGCGGCTCTGAACCCCGCGGGCACCGTCAGCTCAGCTGCACGGGCAGAAGCCCTCACAGCCCTTGTGTTTGCTACCCCTGCCTGGCAGGGATTCAGAGATCTTTAGATAACAGCAGATGTGGGTGTGGAGTACGAGTGGCAGAGTGACAGGGCATCTCCAGCAGCATCGCAATCGGGGACAAAGTTTCAATCACTCAAATGGCTTCTCATCTCTTCCCGAGAGGGGAAGGACGGTGTTTCCCAAGGCACTGCCGAGATTCCTAGGATTCGGTAGATTCTGGTGGATCTGGGATCCACGCGCAGCCCAGCAAAACACAGGGTGTGATTTTTACAGGCGAACAGCAGCAAAGCACAAGTACCTTGAATCAGATTCGGGCATTTGGGTTGGAACCTGGGCAAGGCTGCACACCTGCCCACCTTCACCTGTGCCCTCCGCCAGCTATCGCAGCTCACTGGGAGGTGATCATGGTAACACCTCTGTAAGCTCCTCTGGGGCTCCTTATTTAAGGGAGCCCTCAGGTCAAGCTGATAGTCAATGTATTATTGAATTCGGTGGCCATTATTTCTATGGACTTTGGGGATGATTCACTGGGGCTCCAATCCCCTTCCTCAAAGGGGTGTCCTGAGGGATGGCCTTTTTCCCGAGTGTTTTCAGTTCCCCAGCCCCCAGGAAGCCCCAGGGCTGATTTCCTAAAGTAACACGTGTCTCCGCGGAGAACGTCGTGAACTTCTGGGCCTCACTCTGAGGAGAGGATTCAGTAGGTCTCCCACCTCCCCCGCAACCGGGTCCAGGTTTAATTCCTTCTCCCGCTCCGCCCTCTCTCCTCTTCCTCAGGACTATCTTGTAGGAAATCTTACTGCTCACAGAAGCTCTAAAGCCTAGAGCGGTTTAATTTTTTGTGTGTAAAAATATCCCACGACAAACATGTCTTGTGTTTTCTCAAGATCACAGTCACAAGGGACATCTACCCACATTCGCTTCACGTGCTGATTGGGAACCTCTGCTGAGCGGCTGGGTTCTCGTCCTCAGCCCGCTGGGGACAGCTCACGTTCCAGCTCTCTAGATGTTTACTGGCTTCTATTACAATGCGCCCCAAACTTTCAAGCGTTCACCTAGGAATATCCCGCAGTTCAACAATAAAAATAATCATTGTCTTATATTCTCACTTGAGAAATAATACAGCTCTTGATGTCTGTGCAGAAAATGCTCCACAAGTGAATTTCTCTTTTCCAAAAGTTATCAATGATTCAATTGTTCTCAATAGATCCACGAACATGCCTACAGAATGATTTAGGTCTTTAGGGGTCACCTCCCGACCATCACTAGAACAGGGCAGCTAAAATGTCCCACCAAGAAGACACGTCCGTCCCCCTTGGAAGGAGACAGAGATTACCGTTATCCTCACCGAACCACCTGCTGCCCAAGACCAAGGACATCACCAGCCACCTGAGGCTGCCCTTGACTTACAGCTTTGTTTGCAGCTTTGTCTGAATTACTACAGAACCAGCCTACAATATCATTTTTGGTTTCGTAAGTGATGCAACCCCCTTACCTGACAAACAAACAAGAAATTAAGACTCAGTGATCCAGAGCGAGAAGGCTCTGTGCGGAGCCCCCGAGGTACTGCGGGGGTCTAGAGTCAGACCATCGACGGGGTGCACTCGCCACGCGTGGCCCTGGGGCTCCTGTCCTCCTGGTGATAAAGGTCTACCCTGGGTCCCCGCAGGTGTCCCTCCGCTTAGCGCTGGCCTTGCTCTCACGGCTCTACGTCTTCACGCTGTTTATCGTCCCCCGAGCGCCAGTGACCCAAGGCACAGCTGCGGACAAACGCCCAGGTCCAGCACCTCACTTGGTATGACTGTCCCGCATGCTGCTTCCTGACATCACCGTGCATCTCAGGAGCTTTTCATGTGACAGGATGTGCGCGGCCTGTGCTGACTCTGTTCCCACGGGGGCCTCAGAGCTCCTGGCCCATGAGCACAGGGCCGCAGCCAACTGGCGTTCTTTCTAACTCGCTCTCCCTTCCTGTCATCGTTCCAGATTCTAACCAACCCTTTTGTCCCATAACAGCTGAGCAAAGGCACAGAGGTGGCAGGCGGGGGAGGGATGGTACGTAACCGTCTCACAGGAAAGACCCCTTCTAGATGCTGGGATCCGGGTTCCATGGTGGCTCAGGGCGCCCTCAGGAGCGAGTAGCAGAGAAACAGGAAACGGCAGAAGCCCTTGGCTCACGGGAAGGGCCTCAAGGCACCCGGGCCTGTAGCTCCGACCACAGCAGCGGCAGGAGGAGATGCGGCCCAGCCTCGTGCCGGGAAGGCCCCCCAGGCCTGCATCCGGGGCCGCTTGGGCGACCAGCACCTGTGTCCAGGGTGCACGTCCCCTCCCAGCTCACACCCGCCCTCTCGTGGGCTTGCAGAGCAGGGCCAACCGTGTCGCCACGTGATGTGAGCATCAAGCAGTTCGGCAGCTGCATGGTCTAAAACACATACCCTGGGTTTGAGCTCTAATTCCCTGACCTTGTACAGTATTTATCTGTCTGAACTTCCATTTGCTCGGCTTTAACACCGTGAAACTGTCCGACTGAAGGAGCGACAGTGGTGAGCGAGGGTGATGCCCGCAGAAGCGACTCGCTGCCTGGATCCTGGGACCACGGATGCTCGGGACACGAAGTCTGAGCTCTTTAAGGTACATGTGAGGTGCTCACTTAAAACCGGGCCCGCAAGGAAATCTCACTAAAGATGCATAAGAGCAAACAGTAAGACAGCTCGACTCAACTACTGATACGTTATGGCCTGGTGGCGCCCGGGAACTACACTACCACAACTAAGACAAAGCGTAAATTCTTGAAAAACGTAAAGATTTCAGAAAAGTGCAATAAGACTTTGAAAAATCCTCAAGATCAATTTAGGAAAAATTGGTTTAAGTTATAATGAGAGATGACAGTACCTTTCAGTCACAAGAAAAAAGAAACAGACAAATCGATGGGCAAACACACAGCAAGGCTCTGGACTTCAGGCCAGCCACGCGGAGGGACAAACGGGCAGAGAGGTGTCCCATCAAACAGGACGTGCACTAAACCTCTGTTCACAAGCTCCCCTGCTTTACGTGGACCCTGGGACATCAGGCCAGAAGCAGGACGCCGGGCCCCGGGCCTCTCATGTTCTCCAGGCGGGGCTGGAGGTCGGCCACGGTCAAAGCAGCATCCCCTCCGGCCTCGCATACTTGTGTGTCTTCCTACTTACTTAGGTCAAGGGAAGTCCAAACAGATCAAGTCCACTTAGAAACATCACTGACCCTGCTGGTGGTCCCCAACATGGAAATACAGGGAGTAACCTCAGCAACAGTGACCCGAGTGGACACACAGGTTTCTGGGACGACCCCAGTCCTACAGACGTGGGGCAGCAACTAACAGCATTTCTACCGACAAAGCACACAAAGGGAGTCACGTTGGAAAATATTTTCGAGAAATATTTTATTTATAATGCACTCCAAAAACACAAAGGACACACCCACAGATTTCTTACCATGTGTGTGTTGGTGGTCACTATCTGAGAGTGGGAAGGAAGCCATGGCAAAAAGAAAAAAGCAAGATACAAATAAAGCAACCCCTAGAAATTATGCAAAAAACCAGAGCGCTGAACGTCTACCAGGAAAGTGTAAATCTACTTGTTGCGAAGTAAACCGATACTTAAGGACGTGAACAAACACTAAAATGGGTTAAATGCGAAATTATTTCCCATCTCTAATGAGCCACGTCTCAACGATCAAATCGAACCACTAGATATGTAGCTAACGGTGAGTAAGCTACAGAAGTAAAGCCTGGAACCCCTCAGGAAGGGTGTCCCTACAGTCGGCAGAACTCTGCCATCACATCCCTTCCGTCCAGCTGGGGGGCAGACACCCAGACACGGTCCCCACGGGGTGTGCTGAGACTGCGCTGACCCGGGATCGTGCTGGATTCAAGCTCTGTCCCCAAAGAATCCCGGAGCCACGTTGACACGACCCAGTTCTGTACTAACCTGTCCGTTGCTGGTCACGGTGGTGTTTTCAAACATGAAGTAAGCACCGAAGAAAAACACCAGAGCATCGAACACGCCTAAGGACGTCCAGTAAACGAACACCCGCCGTCGAAGGAGAGCGTTCTTGGCGATGTCTCTGGGGGAGGCGGAGGGTGGGGCCTGTGATGGCGCCCAGGCGCACGCGCCCACGCAGCCCCTGCCGCGTGCACCGGCCCTGCGGCCGCCGTCCTCGTCTGGGGGCCCCTGACTCGCGGAGAGCCCCGAGGTGGCAAAGCTGCAGGGACAGAAGAAGGAGGGCCCTCGGAGGGGGCGGGGCCCCTACTGACACCCACTCAGCCAAGCCCCGAAAAGCGGGTCCCGGAGAAGCCCGGCCGCGAGAACGGGGCTCCTGGTCTCCCGCCTGGGGTCACCCCGCACAGCCTGTCCACGTCGCGGCCAGACCCCCATCTCCACCTGTCGACTGGCCGGCACACGCTCTGAATGCACGGAGCCTGTGGGATGCCAGGTGGGCCTCAGGACGGACCACGCCCCCGAGCCACACTTGATGCTCTGCGGCTCCTCCGGCCACACCGCCTGCCACTTCACTCAACACCACACCTGGTCCCAGGGACACGCTGGCATCCAAATGCCGAGACCGCGGGCTTCCTGGACCAGGCTGCACCTTTCACGACAGGACTTCCTACACCTGTTAGTTTAGTTCAATAAGACAGAGAAGCTGCAGGATTCCCTCCGGGTGTGTGTCTAAAATGGTGTGGGTTCTATTTTCTTAGACTTACTCCTGTATCATTAAATGCACGTGACAAACTCGGAGCTTGATTTTTTTTTTTTTATCACCTACAGGGATTATTTTGGACCCCAACACTTCAAGACCCCATTTAACGGCTAATGACTCTGATGTCGGCCGTGGGGCTGGTGAGGTGTCTTGACTGTGTGGGCACAGGACCCACACACGTGAAAAGCCTGCACAGAATTAAGTGCACACACACGTGAGTACACGTGTGCACACGAACGAGGACCAGTAAGACGGCTGGGCGTGTCGCGTTGTTGCTCTGCTTGTGGCCTTGTCCTGCGGTTCTGCAGGATGGTCTGTCAGATGTTACCACTGGGGAAATTGGATAAAACCTCACAGAATCTCTCTCCTAGTTCTTACAACCACATGTGCATCTAAAATGTTCCGAAAATAACACGTTTAATTTACAAAGCCACAATAAACAGTGACACATTGAATCGGCCAAAGATCCTGGGGTGCAGTTCTGAAATAGCAGAAAAATCATTTCCTTGTTATTAAAAATACTTGTTAGCAGAAAAGAGCACCCTGAGATCAGATATGTTAACTTCTCTCTTTTCTCACTGAATGGAACCTATTTGGACCTGCGAGGATCATTTAGGCCATAAATCCACTGGGGTCACAAGGGGATAGAAACTCTCACCCCAAGTTCTCTCACAACCATCGAAAAACACGGTAAAGTACAAACTGGCTTAACGTGTGCATTTCAAACGCACCATAAATCCTCTGTCTGGATTTGGAGTGCGTTCACTTAAATTACATCGCTTCCTGCTGGAAGGATCTGCTGTGGAAGCGAGTGTGTCGGCTGACCCTGAATCGTCTGGTTTTTAAGTACAAGTGTTATCTGGATTCGCGGTAGGGCTGCCTGGTCCTGTACCTTTGCCCACAGCGGCTGCCCGCCTGAGGTTACCTGTACAGGGCAGGGTCCCTCTTGAGTGTGTCCATGGTGACGTGCTGCTCCATCAGGCTGTACAGCAGGATGGGGAGGGACGTGAAGCTGATGTTGTACAGCGTCAGGTAGGCAGTGTCGTACAGGCTCTGCAGGACCGAAACGCCACGTGAAAACAGCACCCGGGCATCTTGACAAGATTTTCGGATAATTTGTTTCAATATGCATATGCAGTTTTCATTTACAAAGCGCCACAGGCATGAGCATCTAAAATGCACACAGAGCCATTTTTCAACAGATAGAGAAGGACAAGGACATTTTTCAAAGTGTCATGCTGTCGACCAGTCTGGATTAAAATCACAGCGGACCCACCGGGTCCTGCCATTCCAAACCTGCACCAACAGAAAGTCGCATAAAAGTCTGCAATTCTGATCGCCACCTCCTGGTTGCTTTAGATGAAAGCAGATCAGCGACGGAATGGGGTGGGGGGGGCGTCATCTGGCCTGCATGCCCTGCCGTCCACCCTCTGCCCACCACAGACACATGCGGGGAAGCGGGATAAGGCTCAGGTGAGCTTGACCTCAGGCATCAGGACTCACCTGTTGTGAAAACCCACAGAAGAACTGGTATAAAAACTGAGGGAAGATGAAGCAGACATTCTGAAAGACAAGCCACACGCCTGTTAGCCAAGTGCACATTGTAAGAGACATCACCTTTCTACCCCGTCACAGAGCTTGGCCACGTGACACCCTCCACCTGGGCAGAGTGCCCCACATTCTCCAGCAAGACGGGCGATGGCTCTAAAACTCTTTGCTCATCTCAGGGGCTCCCACAGTGCACACGGGACCATTCTGGTCACCCTGAGATCACACAGACTCAAGGGAAACTTGTGGCAGAGAAATGAGGCGGCAACGACGGTGTCAGTACAGACAGGAAAGAATGCAACCCCCTTAAAGAAGAAGAAACTACTGCAAGGAACTAGAAAAGAATATGCCCCTTCCTTCCTCAAGCGTCTTACAGCCCGTATCTCACTGGTTCCACGTTCAGTTTTGAGACTGTGCGAAGAGAGCTGGGCGCTTGCTCCCGTGGTCCTGCGATTACCCCCTCCTTTCTGACGGTCACTTCTATCCATGGACAAATCAGCGCTGTAGCCTCGGGGCATCGTGACGGGCGCTCTGAGACGCTGAGAGGGGCAAGGAAAGGCTTCCTACCTTATAAAAGAAGAACTGCACAAGCTCAGATATTCGAATATAGTAAAGGTGCCCGTGGACAAGCAGCATCTTCTTTAAATGCTTAAATTTCGGTATCGCATAGTCGCTGTTCCTCGCAGCCTGGCGACCTTCTTTCCCGATGATGCCTACAGGAAGGGAGCAAACGTGCTGAGTTAAGCCTTTCTCAACACCACGCAGGTGGACACGGACACAGGCAAAACGGGGTGAGGCTGAACCGTGACTGTCGGATTTCCAGTCACGAACGCTCTGTGTCACAGACAGTGTCCTGAACGTGTGTCTAGATTCTATGGCCCTGGCTTGGCTGTGTCCTTTCTCGTCCAGCTGCGTGGTAAACCCGGGTTACCAAGAGGCGCAGGGAAGCAGAACCGAGGGGCTTACCTATGCCCACGTGGGCCTCTAGGATCATGCTGACATCATTTGCGCCGTCACCAATCGCTAAAGTGATAGGGTGCTCTTTTGAAAATTTGATTAATTTAACAATCTGGAAAAGAAGTAAGTGCAGGTTTTATCATCTCTGTTTTATTTTTGCAAAGGTCATTCACTAACTAGGCAGAAACGACAAAGATGTCAAGTTAGTCAAGGAAAAATGAAACAACTATGTACTTAAAGTGAATTCTTTATTACATGCAGCCTATTTTATCCACTTAGGATAAAATCTTTTTCACGTCGAAAGAGAAACACACTTCAGCAAAAGCAGCTAAGAAATGACTGTAGTAAGATGAGCTGAGCAGGCTGGTGGGCAGACAGGACGGAGAGTGAAATCCAGGAAGTCATTTGCAGGGGCTGCTCAACTCCTTATGTAAACGTGGGGGGAAACAGATTTAAATATACGGCGGGGCAGGGGGGAGTGTGAACGCTGCATTCCGTTAGAAGATACTGCTATTCCAAGCTATCTGGTTTCAAGCATCTATTTTTTAAAATAAGCTGTTCATTTACTTTTCAAATCTGTCTTGTGTGCAAAACCAAATCTGACAACTCAATGCAATGAATAATTTCCAAATTTCTAGTCTGTTTCTTTACAGTCTTTTTTTTCCTATTTATGTGCCTAAGTATAAGGTTCCATGATGTAAGACTGAAAAGATGAGGAAAAAATGTGTAGATTGTCTTCTTGTTTCAAGACTGAGACACTAATTGGTATAAAAGTTTGCAAAAGTCAGTTAAGAACCTAAAAGAAATACCAAGTAACACGTGAAGACCAAACGACATCCTTAGCTCTGTTCTGGACATCACTGAACAAGGTTTACGCAGAGTCACACACTTAAGAGGGACAGTCGGGAATAAAACCATTTTTATCCCAAATAGAATGTGCGTGAACTTCTTCACTGAGAATCACCTCAGGGCGATGCTTTATGTGTTTTATGCTTAGTGACACCGTCACGTGGCAGATCAGTGCAGCACGCATGCAAGGACGTGAAAAATGACCCCTTTGCACGTGGTGTTCAGTATTTTACCTTAAGCACTAGGTCAGTCTGAGAAGCTGACAGTTTCCTTCGTGAGCAACTCAAGAGAAACTGATCTCCCTTATCTAAAATGTGGTCTACAGAATTGGGACCGTTTTAGGTTTACCAACACCAGAAAGGTACACATGCTCACGTTCGTATCCCATATGCTTTAAAAAATATTTAAAAACACACAACAGGGGGCTTCCCTGGTGGCGCAGTGGTTGAGAGTCCGCCTGCCGATGCAGGGGACACGGGTTCGTGCCCCGGTCCGGGAGGATCCCACATGCCGCGGAGCGGCTGGGCCCGTGAGCCATGGCCGCTGAGCCTGCGCGTCCGGAGCCTGTGCTCCGCAATGGGAGAGGCCACAGCAGTGAGAGGCCCGCGTACCGAAAAAGAATCCGCCTGCCAATGCAGGGGACATGGGTTCGAGCCCTGGTCCAGGAAGATCCCACGCGCCGCAGAGCAACTAAGCCCGTGTGCCACAAGTACTGAGCCCGCGCTCCAGAGCTCGAGAGCCACAACTACTGAGCCTGTGCTCTAGAGCCACAACTACTGAAGCCCGTGCGCCTAGAGCCTGTGCTCCACAATGAGAAGCCACTGCAATGAGAAGCCCGCGCACTGCAACGAACAGTAGCCCCCGCTCACCGCAACTAGAGAAAGCCCACGTGCAGCAACGAAGACCCAACGCAGCCAAAAAAAAAAAAAAAAAAAAAAAATTAAGAAAAAAACACACGTCAGGTGGTGTTTCCACAAGAGTGTGGAGCAATGGGCAGAACGTGAGTTCGGAGTCCGACAGAGTGGAAGCCGACTCGGACCGCCACTTTCCAAATCATCCCGCCAGGCAGGTTCTCCCGATTTTCTGTGTCTCAGGTACTTCGTTCCTAAAATTAGCACAGCCTCCCTCGCCTCAAGGGTTACCGTGAGGGTCGGTGGGTTCGCACCTGCCTCAGCAATCGGCACACAGTAGGTGCTCGACTGCAGCTGCCTCCCTCCCGGCTTCCGTACAGACCCTTACAGACGGCTCTAACTCCTTGATACAGTTCTGTTTACGTGAGAGATGGGACGAACATCTCCCTCGGTCTCTGTACCCAGAAGGGCCATCCATTTGATTCCATCAACGCTTACTAATCACAGCGAGCAAAGTTAAGTCTCACGTTTCAATTTCTATCATTTTTACTTCCATTTTTAAAAGGAGGTGCTTTGCTAGATTAAAAAAAAAAACCCAGAGGCTGTAAGGGCTCATGAATGGCTCTCACTACGTAACCCCTTCCCCCCGGGATCCCTAGCTGGTTCCTGGTGGGCGGCAGACCTGGGCCTTCTGCAGGGGCGCCATCCGGCAGCAGAGCACGGCGCTGCAGTTCCGGCAGATGTCCAGGAAGAGCTCTCGGTAGTTGCTGGAGCTCCCGTCCTCACGCGGCTTCATTATCAAGGACAGCGCGGCACCATCAATAATTAAACCGTAGTCCTGCATATCGGCTGAGAGTCTGTTAGATCATACAAACCAGAGAAATTACTCAATAACTAGATCCAGAGATTTGAGAAGACTCTGTACCGTTCTGGGATATCTATAGATGCTGCACATTCAGGATCAAGGATTAAGAAACTGGTTTTTCTGGTTTTGTCAGTAATAATACGGTCCCTAGATTAGTGGCTGTAAGGCCTTTGATTACATTTTAAAACTGTGTGTGAATTAACCTTTCTCATTTCACTGAGGCAAAGCAAACAATGGTGGCAACTGTGGACTCCTGGGCGTGTTCCAGTACACTTCCTGACAAAGGAGAGCGTTTATCCCGCCATCGAGGAGATCGGCCTTCATTCCCGAACCGCCTGGCCACCTCAGCCCACCGCAGTCTTTACTGTTACAAGTAATACCTCCGTGCTACTCTGCCCGGGTGACCTGACTCGGAAAGAACATGGTCGTAATTTCTCTTTGCTGGGTTTCAAAATTACGAGGAATATCTCTAATTCCCAAAAGGAATTCTGCAGATAGGGCAAAGGGAAATATCGCTGTACTATTTATAAATGAATAATATTAAATCCACATATGATTAGAGAGCTGCCTTTCCTTTACCTAAGTTAATGAAAACTTGAAGTGATTCAAATGAAATCTAATCTTAGATCATGCATCTAATACCAGCAAGGATAGCACTGATAAAATGTGAATAAACTGGTGAATGTTCTTGGAAAAAATAACTGTTGAGCACACACTGTCTGTCTTAATCGACAAACGACCATGCATTATTCACGTCTCCCTCCTGCTCTGGCAGATGCCCTGAGGAATCCACGATGCAGCCCGCAAGTGTCATAGAAGCAGATGGGAATCACCCCATGCACGATATTTTGTAAATCCATGAATGAAGTCTCTTTGCACCCTCAGCCAGCAGTCTGCAAGTGAGCGCGCACACACACACACACACACACACACACACACACACACACACACACACACACACACACACACACACCCCGCTCTGATGCAAAAAGGCATATATGTCACAGTTGCTAAAGAGAAATAGCTCTGGTCATGGTCCCGACCACGGGATGCTGTTAGAGGCCAGAGGACAGGACCACGTCCGCAAAAAGGGAGCTGAGGCCACGGCCCTGCCCACGGAGCTTGCCCAGTCCGTCTGCAAACGTCCCGCCTACCCTGAGAAGCTGTCCTGGGTCAGGCTGGCGCTGCAGTGCAGGACGGTCTTGCTCAGCTCGCAGAGCACGTCGTGCAGGCTCTGCTCCTCCAGCCTCTTGGTGGTCACCTCGAGCAGCTGCGTGTTCCTGCGGAAGAGCTTGCAGGCGTAGCAGGCGGCGGCTGCCGTCTCCATCTTGTCACCCGTGAGCACCCACACCTTGATGCCCGCCTTCTGCAGGGCCTCGATGGTGTCGGCCGCCTTCTCCTGCAGCCTGGGGGGCGGGGGGCGGGGGACAACACACACACGTCAGCGTGGACACAGCAAACCAAGTGTAGAATTCCAAGAACTTGTGGTCTACTAAACTGTTTCAGTTTTTTGCTCCCAAATTAAAAAGCACCACGGTGCTGGCTCGTGATTTACTGTAAAGGACCCCAGGCTGGTTACAGCTGTGTATTAACTTTTTACAACAAAACACTTCCTAATACCAGAAAATCCACAGGGATAAAATATTAAGAAACAAAACGGCATCTTGTACGAGTAACAGTTGCCAAGCACACAGTTTTCTGCCTGGTGGGACTTGCTACTTAGAGAGGATTTTACGCTATTATAAGAAGGCCCGTCATAACCACCAACCAAAAAAGTCTTAACCAGGGAAAAACGGGACCTGGAAGAGGGGTGACACTCACCACCTTTTCTTTGTGCATAAACTGTTCTAATTTTGCCACGTATCAAATCGGAGCCCAGGTTCCCCTAAAGAACGTGAAATGCCAGGTGTGGCTCTGGGACGGGCTGATGGCGTCGCAGGCTCGCCCCGCATCAGGTGCTGCGGGAAGCACTAGCCTGCGACGTTTTGTCTTTGCCAGAACCTTACAGGATGAGGACGGTGTTAGGATCCTGGTCTACGTGCAGAAAACCCAAAGCTTACAGAGGCCACAAAACATGTCTGAGGATAAACGGCACTCTTGGCCTCGGTCAGGCTGTCTTGCCATCCGTGGAAGTCTGGCGTCAAAACCATGTCTGCCTCATTTGGGGGCCTGCTGTCTTTTCTAGATTTTAGAGTCTTAGTTTTTGATAGATGTGTGTCAGTGATGTATTTCTGTCCAGTGCTGAGCGAAAGGCAACGAAAGGATCTGGATTCTGACTGGAACCATCTGGTTAGATTCTGGGATAAACTTCCTAGGTCAAGTCTGGAGATGATATAATCGTACTATTCTAGAGGCAGAAAAAAAACATCTCTCATTTCATCCTTTTTTGCAAAAAGGAAACCGAGGCCCAGAGTGGTCTGTAAAGATGTTGGCTAGAGATTTCAAAGAAATAATTTGTAATCAAATATCATCACTTCAACCCCTCCCGTCCCCTCCATCCCTGGGAATCTATTCTCAATGTCCTGAGGTGCCAGCTCCCCCCGGGTGCATCAGCTCCCAGGACCCCTGTGAGGGTCCTCGGCTCTGCAGGCGAGGATCCCTCCGCCCTTAAGGGCCTTCCCTTCTCCCCAGTTCCTCCGAGGACCCGGGAATTCTACCAGCTGTTATTATTGTCAGTTTTTGCAATATTCTTACTTCATTATTTTAAATTCCTTCAATGAGTGATGACGAGAACACTGAGAATGTTAAGACCCAACATGTTCACACTTGTATTTGGAAAGAACTAGTGACAAACTGAGGAACAGATTAGTTATTGATTCCTCTCTAAAGAATAATTGAACAACACAGCCTTGTAGCTCGACTGTTCAGAAGATGGTGTGAAAATGCTGACCATTTTAGTTTCTTCTGGGGAAGTGTGACTTTCAGGCCTTTTATTCGTGGAAAGTCAAACATCACAATAGCGCAGCCTGACCCCCTGCGCTATTACCCCAGGCCACCAAGTGTCCTGCCCGGTCCTGACGCGTGAACGCGTTCACCGGCTGCGGCCGACACCGGCTGTGGGGCTCCTCCCGAAGTGCCCCTGTAGCCCCTGCGATCCCGCGGCAACACTATTATTTCTGAAGACAAGAGCGCGAGCCTTTACCGATCCTCCACGGCCGTAGCACCGAGCAGGATAAGGTCTTTCTCTATCTGCTCATAGGCTTCTGCTAATTTCCTTTCCCGATCGTGAAGCGCCACTTTGGCGGCCTGCAGCAGCTTATAGATGCCTTCGTATTCTTCCTGGATGAGCCTTTTGTAGGCAACGCACAAGGTCCGAAGCCCCTCCTGCAGGACACAAAGCAGCACTTAACGTGAACTCGAGGGTCACTTTGCTGAATATCACTTCCCAAAGCTTTCCCGACACCCCTCTCCAGCTCGAGTGACTAACCAGAGAACGAGAAACCAACCCACCCTCAAGGGGCTGGTCATCTGCAACTGAAGCATATCCACCTTAAATATACATAATCATGGTAGATTATAAAGTTTTCAAACTAGTAAGCGTGGGAATACAAAATATAAACCAGGGCCGTCAAAAGATAAGACTTTGTTCTTTTATTTTGACAAATGAAGAGTTAACCTTTTTTAGGATAGCAATTGCAATTTATAGTAAATATCAAGTGATATTTCTTTTTTTTTTTTTTGGCCACACCACGTGGCATGTGGGAACTTAGTTCCCTGACCAGGGATTGAACCCACGCCCCCTGCGGTGGAAGCTCAAAGTCTTAACCACTGGACCACCGGGGAAGTCCATCAAGTGGTATTTCTAAAGTGACGCTTTACGTGGGGAGTTTGTGCAACACTTTGATCTTATTTGGGTCTCACTGAAGGAAAACCACACGGTTATTGATCAAACCTATCGGGTCCACAGGAGAGTAAAATAAGAACCTAAGACTAATTCTGGATGTCAGAGCACGCAGGGCAAGCACACCAGCCGGCAGGGCACCAGGAAGCTGGGCTCTCGAAGGCGCCACACAGAGTACTTTCACTCCGTCAACAGACATTTCCTTCGGTTACGATGAAGCAACCATCACAATGGCCTGACTGGCGACCCTGGACGATCCCCTTCTGCTTCCCTTGTTCCTTCAGCCCCAACTCTACTGATGCCCTGAAATGAGCCAGAGTCTCCTACATAATCAGTCCAAATTCTGGGAGAACACTGGTTTCTAAGATTTTAAGGTTTTCCACTATATGAATTCTAATGTCCCATAACTCTCAGGGAACGCTTCACAGCTTTCATATTTTCTCCGACCTCCAGATGTAGCCGAAGGACACGATCACGGTCGGGTTAACAGCTCCTCTTGTCCCCGGAGCTCTCGGAAGCCCGAAGGCGGGAAGGGAGCCCCGGGGAAGGAGCAGGACAAAAGCAGCAACTGTGTGTCCGACACTCTGGGAAGGCTCTGAGCTCTGTGACCGCCCACCATCCAGATGCTGAGTCCCATCCCAGGGGAGCAAGCAAACAGCCCGCTCGCCTCTCTCTGAGAAGGCAGGTCCCTCTCCATCCCTGAGCTGTGAAAGCGCAGAGATGCTGTTCCCCTGCATCCTTCCCGGGTCCACTCCCCTGCTCACTTCGCTGCCCTCCTGTCTGTCTCCTTTGTGGGGTGGGAGCTCTCAGGCCGCTGGCACTGTCTTACTTCACCTTCGAATCCTTGGCACACAATAATAACTCAGTAACTTCTGCTAAAAAAAGTAAGTGGTTGAAGTTGGATCAGAAGTATCCATGGTGATCAAGTTACAGATCAGAGACATGAACTCGAACTACAGAATGGATCCTCTGACTTCTCCTAAGAGGTGAAACGCACAGGATATACGTATATGACTCCATTCTACACCAGAAAAACTGCACGATAAGAAAGAGGTTTTACGAGGATAGTAATTCAGAGCTGTCCCAGAACACAGAGCCGGTGTGAACGGTCAGCAGAAACTTCAGAAATAAATAGAACCTTGCCTTTAAAAGCAGCTATGGGACTTGCCCTTGTGGACACATGGAGTAGAAATACTTTTCTCTATTCTTCCTGCAAAGTATTACTAAAACCCTGGACACTGTATATAAAACAATACTGATATACAAAGCCAGACAAATACACCACAAGGAAAGAAAGTTACAGAACATTATCCCTTACAAACATATATGCAAAAATCCTCAACAAAATTTCAGTAAACTGAATCTAACAGTACATCCGAAGGATTATATACATGACCAAGAGGGATTTATCCCAGCGATGCAAGGGTGATTCAACATATGAAAACCAATCGATGTAATATATGACATAAATAGAACACAGGAGAAAAACTCACATGATCATCTCAATAGATGCAAAAAAGCATCTGACAAAACCCGACAGCTTTTCATGATGAAACCACTCAGTAAACTAGGATAGAAGGGAACCTCCTCAACCTGATAAAAGCCATATATGAAAACTCACAGCTAGCGTCATCCTCAACGGGGGAAGATTGAAAACTTTCTCCCTAAGATCAGGCAGAAGACAAGGACGGCTGCCTTTGCCACTTCCATTCAACATGGTGCCAGAAGTCTTAACCAGAGCAATCGGGCAAGAAAAAAAAAAGCTATCAAGTTGGAAAGGAAGAAATAAAGTTATTTCTGTTCTTAGAATGATAAGATCCTATATGTAGAAAACTCTAAGGATTCCACCACCAAAAAAAAAACATTGTTGGAACTAAAAGACAAATTCAGTAAAGGTGCAGAATACAAAGTCAACACACAAAAAGCAGTTGCATTTCTACACACTAACTATGAACAATCCAAAAAGGAAATTAAGAAAACAATACCATTTACAGTAGCATCAAAAAGAATAAAATACCCAAGAATGAGTTAAACCATGGAGGTGAAAGACTCATAGACCGAAAACTACAATATGTTGCTGAAAGAAACCACAGAAGACCTAAGTAAATGGACAGGCATCCTGTGTTCATAGATTGCAAGACTTAATATCCCACGATGACGACACCACCCAAAGTGATGTACAGGTTCAGAACAACCCCTATCAAAACTCCAATGGCATTCTTGTGGGAATGGGAAAACCCACCCTAAAATTCATGTGGAATCTCAAGCGATGCAGAGTAGACCACAATCTTGTAAAAGAACGAGGCTGGAGGACGGACTCACGTTTCCTGGTTTCAAAACTCACTGGAAAGGGACGAGTAACCAAAACGGTGTGGTCCTAGCGTAAAGACAGACATAGACCAACGCAACAGAACCGAGAGCTCAAAAATGAACAGTTGCACATGTGGCCCAATGATTTTTGACAAGGATGCCAAAACCATCCAACAGGGAAAGAACGGTCTTGTTCAACCAACGGTCCTGACACAAGCGGCCATCCGTATGTGAAAGAGTGAAGCTGGACCCTTACCTGTCCCCCACACACAAAATTAACTCTAAATGGATCAAAGACCTGAATATAAGTGCTACATTATAAAACTCTCAGAAAAAAAAAAAAAACATAGGCACAAATTATGATCTTGGATTTGACAACAGTTTCTTAAATATGACACTAAAAGCACAGGCCACAACAAATAATAAATTGGACTTGATTAAAATTAAAAACTTTTGTGCATCAAAGGATACTATCAAGAGAGTGATAGACAACCTACAGACTGGGAGAAAATATTTGCAATTCATACATCTGATAAGGTGTTAGTATTCTGAATATATAAAGAACTCCTACAATTCAACAAGAAAAAAAACCTGATTAAAAAACGGGCAAAAAACCTGAATAAGCATTTCTGCAAAGAAGATATACAAATGGTCAATAAGCACATAAAAAGGTGCTCAACATCTTCAGTCATTAGGGAAATGCAAATAAAAACCATACTGAGTTACCACTTCATACCTAACCAGGGTGACTACAGTTAACAAAAATGGAAAATAACAAGTGTTGGCGAATAGGTGGAGGAACTGGAACCCTCACGCGCTGCTGGTGGGGATGAGAAGCGGTGCAGCCTCGGGGGGACAGTCTGGCATTTCCTTAAAAAGTGAAACATATTGGAATTACCAGGTGACCCAGCCATCCCACTCCTAGGTACATAATCAAAGGAACTCAGACAGATACAAGCGCACCCATGTTCACAGCAGCATCGTTCCCAGTGGCCAAAAGGTGGGAACAACCCAAGTGCCCACCAACAGATGACGGATAAACACAGTGTGGCATATATAGCGCATCCACACGATGGAATATTTTTCAGCCACAAAATGGAACGAAGCTCTGATGATGTAAGAACTCGGGTGAGCCTGGAACAGACTGAGCACTCACTTCAGAACAAAATGTGAGAAGAAAACCAAACAGGTCACAAGGGAAAGCATTCAGCGCCAATCACTGGAAGTCCTCAGGATAAAGATCTATTTTCTTCAAGGCCATCACAAATGTGCTTGTCATTCTGGACGCCCTCACCCCCAGACACCAACAGAGGGCTGCGGAGGGTGGTGCCTGCCCAAGGGCACGTGGCCAGGCTTCCCGCGGCGCGCGCACGTGGCACCCAGCAGGAACGCGCCCCCCACGAGGGAGAAGGGGCGTGAGGCCGCCGCCCGCATCTCACCGCTGCGTTGCGCTCCACTCTGGATCGGATCTGGTCCACCTTGCCTTCTACCACTCGGGGAAATATTGAGGAATCTGCTCCTTTGCAAAACAGATAAATTTCTCCTAGAAAATGAGAAAAGATTTTCATTTAATCACTCTATGGGGAAGACTAAATTATTTTTCAAATGACGCTTTTATTAAAAACGAAACCAGGGGTGCCCGCGCTGAGACTGTCGTGGAGATGTCGACTGAGCGGTTAACCCGTAAGATCAGGAAAACGTCAAAGCTACAGATCCCCCCACAAAGCCTCGTATTATTCCGACAAGCCCAGAATCTCAGGAAAGTCAGGAACCAGGAACGAAACTGGCTCCTGGGCGTCCTTGGTCCTGTCACTTCCGCCTGCTCCCTGGCAAGGATGTGAGTGAGGGACGAATGCCCTCGGGACCAGGGAAGGGTACGGACGCAGAGGGCGTGGCCGACCCCAAATGGGGTAACAAGCTGCTGGGACACTGGGCGTGACCAAGAGTGACGAGAAGCATCTGTCGAACGATTCTCCCCACACCTACTGCCCCGGTCACTTCACACGTCTCAGTGCTGGGGGTGCACACTCCTCCCCCCTCGAGGTGAAAGGTTTTCCCTTCCAGACGGGTCGGGAAGCTCTCGGCTCGGACAAAACCGCGGGCGCCCGCGCTGACCCACAGGCCGCTGGCACCAGGGCTCCTCTTTCTCGAGGACTCTTCTGGCCTGCAAACCACGTGGCCCTCTGCTGCGGAAGCACTGAGGGGCTTGTCACAGCGGCTGCAGGGCCGGAGAGGGGGCACTGCCGCTGGAACCAGGTTCTGTTCAGCACTTGTCATCAGACAGAAATCACGAACATCGAGCCCCGGCCTGGGGTGGGTCCCTGGAAACCCAAGATGCTGATGGCCCACGGGAAGGAAACCCGGGAGCCAAACCCAGGGCACCAGGCAGGGCCGGGAGGAGGGGGCACAGTGCTGGGGCGAGGGCTGGGGTGCCCAGAACCGGTGGTCCACACGGGGATCTGGACAAGGGCCCGTGAACTCAGGGGCAGCGTCGGAGCCCACCGTGGGTGGCTCTGTCCTTGGTCCCAGAAAGAACTATCTTCTGCGACATACAGAGCGAAACACTTAAAACACGGCCTGGTTCACGCACACGGAAGCCCTGGAGTTAAACCCAGGGCAACGTCAACCTACGGCCAGGAAGGATGGCATCTGCAGTGTGTGTCGCAGGCATGCAGAGGGGACACGTGGGGTTGAGTTGGGAAAGAAGTGGCAGCACGGCCGCCGCCCCCAGTGGGAATCTGAGCAGTGAGTCCAAAATCCCCAGGAGAAGCCTGCACACCCTCAGGCCGTGACCCGCGAGTCCTGGTCACACACCCGCCAGCCTGACGGCAGAATCCATGCCCGGCACCAGCCATGACTTCTAGGCAATGCTTGTACGTATGGCATCAGATACAGGATAAAACAAGTTTTGTGGTCCAGACAATTCTGAGTGGTGATACCTTCTTGAACAGTAATTCTTTTTCTAGAAAAATCACAGATGACTCCAAGTAAAGGCCTGTGAATGACTTAAATTTTCTACTGTCTCAACCTGTCATCCCTCTGTACCTGCCGTAGACGTGGGACGTGTTCAGCCTAAAGACACTGTCGAGCAGAGCGTCTGACGTGAAAACATCTGGAGTGGAAGGCAACGTTTAACTTGCAAAGCACAAGAGCAGAGAGTATTGGGCCCCAGCTGCAGACCTGCTTTTCCAGTTTTGTAAACGAATAAGAAGTTAGAACTCCAGAGCAGTGCAAACACACAGGTGAGGTGACCGTGGCCCAGGCCAAGCGCCGTGGGATCTGGGTGGCTCCACGGCTGCAGTGGCTTCTCGGGGAGAATCCTCAGAAGCTCAGGGCTGCAGGGGCTCTGGTCTCCGTCCCGCCCACGAGGCTGGAAATCAGTGCCTTTAGGGTCATCTCCGGGGAGGTATTACTACTTAGAGAACAAGTTGTTTAGTTAAATATTCAACGTCTCTGAGAATTCACTGCTGCCTTGCGGGGTTCTGACGGCTCGGCCTCTCCCCTCCGGGAAGGGGTTTCTAGTGGCACGAGCGCCGAGGATGTAAGTCCTTCACGTGACCCAGCTGCTGCTCCAGGCCGAGCCACGCTCCTTCTGACGGGAAGTGTCGCTGTTCGTGAAGGTTCCACGGTCCACACCTCGGCTCCTGCGCTGCGCAGGGCGGGTCAGGAGAATGTGCAGACGGGGACAAGATGGTGTGTGACCAGCTGACGCACTGCTCCCCGAGGCTGTGGCCACGCCTGTCGGCTCACGGACTGTCTCAAGCATGATCCACGTTTGTATCGGGGAAAGTCACAAGAGAGAAAGACTGATGGTGGGACCTTGCACAGTTGAACGCCTTCGTCCTGGATGGACCCCAGCGCTGGCCAGCACACAGCAGAGGGGGCACCCGCCCAGGGGACTTGTCTCCAAACATGACGGGCCGTGTGCTTCCCGTGTCCTGCTGCCCCTGTGGCCACGTGTTTGGGGCAGCATTTACATAAAGACTTGATGTCCATGGCGCTCACTGGTGCAAGGCTCGTTGGTGGAGCCGCCACGTCTGACGGCCTGCTTTGCAGGTGAGGGAGCCACGCGGATCCGAGCGCCAGCTCCGAGACGCCCAAGTGCTGCAGCTCGTGGAGCGTGGTTCACAGGGCCTGTGGCCAAAAGATGGGCCTTCAGCAACCTCCCTATGTCCTCAACCGGCTTGGGAGACAAAATAAGGCACTTCTGGTTCCATCGAAAGAGGCTCAAGCAGCCCTGTTAAGGGAACTCACTTTGTGGAAATGAAATCCGCTCGACCTGAGTGTTAGGACACTGCTGACGCAGAGCTCTCCAGGTCATACTTGAGGCTGAATCTGTTTAGGTTCAGGGCAGCAGCTTTGTTTGGCTGCTCTCCAGGCAAGTTTCCAAAGAGAAAAACATAGCCTAGCGCGGTCTAGTTTTAAGAAACGAGAAAGAGTAAGATGCCAAGTCTCTTGGTAAGATGCCACTTGAAAACACGTTAGCAAACTGAACCCAGCAGCACTTACCGAACACTCAGCAGTGCTGTGCTAGGCACACTGCTGAGTAAGTGTGGTTCTGCATTCAGGACATCTGCAGCCCAGCAAGGGCAGGAGGAAACCAGGAAGGCTTCCTACAGGTGGCTGTGGAGATGTCCTGGGAGAGCTGCACATGAGTAACAGGGCCTCCAGGTGGAAAAGCCCTGCCAGGCAGAGGGCCTCCAGGTGGAAAAGTCCAGACCAGGTTGAGGGCCTCCAGGTGGAAAAGTTCACATCAGGTAGAGGGCCTCCAGGTGGAAAAGTCTACACCCGATAGAAGGCCTCTAAGTGGAAAAGTCCAGACCAGGTAGAGGACCTCCAGGTGGAAAAGTCTACACCAGGTAGAGGGCCTCCAGGTGGAAAAGTCTACACCAGGTAGAGGGCCTCCAGGTGGAAAAGCCCTGCCAGGCAGAGGGCCTCCAGGTGGAAAAGCCCAGGTGGTGTACCCTAGGGGGCGGCCTGGGAAGGAAAGCTGGGAGGCAGCTCAGGGCCTCCATGAGAAGAGCTGGATGGGCGGCTGCCTGTTTCTATCAAGGACCCGAGCCCAGGAGGCCCCGCAGAGACAGCGGAGCACACGAGGGCTTGAGAAGGACGTGGTCGCAGACGCCTGGGCGGGGCCTGCAGGTGGGCGGGGCCTGCAGGTAGGGACCCAGGAGACAGGCTGCTGCGTGAGTAAACTGAGGGGAGTTCAGAGCCCCGGGGATGAGTCACGGGACTTTCCCTTGGGGGAAAAACCAAAGGTGACTAAACCTCAGCCAAAGATGCTCGGGGACAAACGGGGCCTGAGGTTGAGGGGTTAGTGGTGGTTTATCCATGCTTTAAAAAAAGAGAATAAACAGTTAAATCCTTAAAGCTCCTACAGAATTTAGGCATCAGAGTAAAACACAGTCACACAGTATCATTTAAGAAACCAAAGGGAAAGAAGTCTCTACCTGTAGCAGATTTGACAATTACACTCATTCTCCTTCTTACTGAGTCAAAGCTCAAAATTTCCAGCAATTCGAACCTGAAATAGAGATTGAAATATTGCTTTACTATCATCCGGCCCCACGTCTCATTACATCGGGGTGACCACCGACCCTCCCCGCGTGCTTCACAATCCCTAAAAGAGCAAGGTGGGTGTCAGCCTAGGCGGCTGTGAGGCTGCGCCGGCCCCGCTGGCCCACAAGCTGGCTCCCGGGGGTCCTGGAGCACCGAGCGGCGGTTACGGCCTCAGGGGCGCTCTCACTTGCCTTTCCAGCTGGAAACCAGAAGCCGGACAGCAATGTCACTGCCCTCCCAGGGGTGACCCCATGGCGCCCAGAGGCCCCGAGCGCTTGCGGGAGGAGCCCCAGCTGACCTGGCAGGCCTAGGGCCCAGCAGCCATTCTGGAGTCGAGGGGCTCACCACCTCCGCAGCCTGGGAGTTTATTTTTCTTAAGAGCAAAAATGTAAAATCCAGCTCTTTTGAGACCATCACCACCAAATCTTACATACTTTACCACGTGTGCCGTATCCATATCTGCCCATTGATGCTTATTTAGCAAGGAGAGATGGATGACCCCATCCTCTGAGTCAAAATCAAGACATGCCATTTGTCTCTGGGAGCAGCAGTTTTAGACTAGATGGTCCCTAAGAGTCGATATGGAAAGTGAAACATCCCCCGTCCATCTGGTCCCTCCAAGGCTACCGCTCAGTGTTTCTATAGGACCCCATGCTCCACGGCCTGGGAACCTGCTCCGAGAACACAGGATTCCAGGGCCACTCCCGGGGGAAAGGCTTACGTTGGCCCTCTCGTGGGGAGTCAGAGCTCGGCCTTGGGGGTGTCAGAACATACTAGAAGCTTTGTCAACACCTGCAGTAAAACTGACAATGTGTGGCTTAACCCCAGCCTGTCTGAGGGCACGCCACCACCCAACTTCTCTAACCGTCCGACTCAACTGCGCCAGGCGTGTTTCGGTGACATTCTTGGTGTCGTTACTGAGAAGAGGGAGAATGAGTTATGGAAGGAGTGCAGAGAACTTGGCATTTTCTCCAGTGAAAGAGCTCTGTAAAGACAACGCTGTACTGCCGCCCCAGCCAGGCAGGTTCTCACCTCTCAATGTCATTGTCCCTGTTTCGGAGCTCCATGTAATTGTCCTTCAGCCTCAGGTACGTGAAGCCCAATCTGCAGAGAAGACATACCTGGGAGTTAATGTGGACCCGGATGGCCCTCTTTCATAGCATGTTTCCATTTTACACTTTGGGAAAGCTCTCCTTTTGAAAAAGAAACGCTTCCAGAAAAAGAGGCTGTAAACTGCATTGTAAAGTCGGGAAATTATAGCACTGTCTCAGAACGTTCTCCAAGAGCCCAGGGAATGTCGACTTACCCGACCGTCTGGCGCACCACACGCAATTAGCTGCCTTCTTACTGGCGGGTATGGATGGCAGCAGGTCTGAGGATTGGTCCCTGTCTCTACTGATCAGTGGGGCTGCTTAGAGATTGGTTACCATGTCAGAATTGGAAGGACTCTGGGAGCCCGTCCGTCTCCAGGCAGACGCTCCATTTTACTGATGAGGAAACTATAGCCCCGTTCAACCAACGGGCCACGGGGTGCTTCATCTGTAACGCCCCCTCCTGCACCAGCACGTGTAAGGGCTCTGCCCATGCGAGCCCAGGCCTGGCTTCTGGACTCAAGGAGATTCTGGGACGTGGGGGTGGAGACAGACACTAACACGGCAACAGCCCTAATCATATTAGGAAGACACTATGGGACCATGGGGACAGGGTCCCGTTGACCTGGCAGGAGCTGGCAGGCTGAAGGAGAGGCTGCTTGGAGGGTGATCTCTGACTGAATGCGCCTTGATTCCTGAGCACTCGTTTTCCAAGGAGAGAGAAATCTCGATTCAAGAACTCTCACCTACGTATGTGTGAATTTGTACATCGAATAAAGGTCTGTGGTGACACAATGTACATACCTGATGTCACTTTCAAATTGCATGGGAAAAACACATAGTTTAGCCAACAACAAAAACGTGGTTCCAGTTAGAGGAGAGGTGCCTGGTGCCCACTCACTAAGGCAGCAAAAGGGGAAGGTGAGCATGGCCTTTGGCACTTTTTAAATTGAAAGATAGTTGATTTACAATATTGTTGTAGTTTCAGTTGTACAGCACTGTGATTCGGTTCTTTTTGCAGATTATATTCCATTACAAGTTACTATAAAATATTGGGTTAGTTCCTCGTGCTGTACATTATAAATCCTGCACCTTCAGTATTAAATCAGGGTCGTAAGCTGTGAGAATGGAAAAACATTTCCCTGACGAAAATTATACCATGTGTCTGGAAAAAAGTATTTTTCTAAGTGTTTGCTTACAACCCCATGTCATGAGGCAGCGAAAACTCCCAATAACTCCAATAAGGAGGTGGAGTTAGCACAACAGGACACATGGGAAGTGAGCAGTGACAGAACCCCAGCACCCAGCATCACCCTTTCCATGCTGTGTGACTTTGGGGAAGTTGCTTGATATCTCTGGGCGCCAATTCTCTAGGATGGATGAGGAAGACCTGTCATAAGGAGGATTCTAAGACTGTTGGCATCTTTAAAAGCCTGTGACTATTTGGAATAGCCTCTAACTAATTTACTGCAGAAATTAGGAGGAAAACCCACCCATCTGAGACAGCAGGAGGGACCCGCGTGCCCCACTGTGGGAATCAGGGGAAGCCCTGAGCACAGAGGCAGTGACCGCCCCCTCAGCAGAACACACCAGACGCAGGACGCTTCCAGGATGAGCCTGTGGTCGGGGTGGAGAGGTCCCACACCCCCCTCGCATCCGGGACCAGAGACGCACCTCTGGATGCCTTCGACCAGAGCCACCTCGTCAGGCGAGGACGAGATGTACGCGCAGCGCTTCCCTGAATCCGGCGACTTCCTGGGCCCGTCCACCTCGTCGTCGTCCTTCACCTGGATGGTGTGGCACAGACAGACGGCCCGGAAAAACAGCTCTTCCCTCTCCTACGAATGCAGCACAAACCCACAACTCTATGGCACACCCACTCAAAACAAGGAGACCAAACAGAAGACGGTAAACAACAACGCTGGGCCTGCAGCCCTAGGGGTCAGGGAATCTTAATTCCACCTCTGGCGGTGGCAGCGAAGTCCGGCTGCCTTTCCTCCGCTCTCGCGGTCCAGATGAAGACGGACATGGACCTCAGGGAGGGAGCGGGTTCAAGGCCACAAGAAGAGACGGAACTGCGATCCCCGGGTTCCCGGAAGCCGTCCCGCGCCCTGGGGTGCGACCGAGACTGAGGGGGCCAAGAAGGGCTGGGCTGGCCTCGTGCAGGCCAGGTGGGCAGCTGAGGCAGGTGGGACGCCCCGCAAGGCCACAGACCACCTGGCCCTCTCCCGAGGCTCGGGGGTGAAGAGGCCGTTTCTGCACCAGCAGAGGCACATGTGCACTGGCTCTCAAAAGGCTGCTGAAGCAGAGCTGACTCAGGCCACCTCAGTCCCCTGGGGCTCCATGCAGGCTTTACAGCCACCAAAGCTTCCGGAACGGTCTCCTGGGCGACCACTGCCGAGGGTCACGGCCCTCCTGGAGGGGGTGAAACCTGGAGCCACAGAACCAGTGTGTGTGTGTGTGTGTGTGTGTGTGTGTGTGTGTGTGTGTGTGTGTGTGG